CCCAGCACCGCTGACTCCACAGCTCTGCCCCCTGATGCTGCACGTGCACCTGCAGGGAGGCGAGTTGAAAGGTTAGCTTCTAGTTTCTGAAGAACAGAAAGATGCCTGCTGGGAGGGAGGACCGCAGTCCCGGAGCGGCCCACAGCCGGGGCCGACTGCAGAGGCCCCCGGGACAGCACAGCCTTTAGGCGGCACGGGAAACCCGCTTAGCACTTCGGGGGGCAGCGACAGGTGCTCAGGGTGCAGTCCCCTAGGACACAGAGAAACAGACATGCAGAAACTTGCGGTTCCTGCCGCCCTTTCGTCCCGGCCTCTGATGTGGTGGGCGATGGCACACGGGCAGCTCAGCGGAGCCCCTGAACGTCACCAGCACAGTCGCAGTCGAGCAACACGGGCCGGGCCTTCCTGCACCCCAAACTGAGAGGCGCGCATGGGTGCGTGCGTGTCCGGCTCCGCTGAGTGGAACTCGTGCTCTGCTCCCCCATTTCCGCTCTGCGCCTCCTCCCGTCTTCCTCCCTTCTGCGGCAGCCTTGAACCCAGCTCCGGCTCCAGGCGTCTCTGCCGCGCCCTCTCCCTTCCGGCCCGCTGTGGTCCCCTCTCCCAGCCTCACAGTGCTCTCTCCGGCTCCTCCTTTCCTCTGGTCCCGGTGAGTCGCTCTGCCTCTGCCTGCCCTGACCTCCTGCCCCTCTCCACCTGTGTCCCGCCCGCTCTCCTTGCAGAGCAGCGTCCGGTGCTCACTCCCGGTGTCAGTGGCTCCTCCTGGCCTCCGCGGGGTCCGTGCCGCCCAGCCGGCCTGCGTGGAGGCCACTCTGTGAGCGCGGCTGCTGACTCCGAGGTCTCCTGTCCTTCCCGGCCCGCGCAGGTCCGTGGCTCACACCAGTGTGTGTCTAAGGGATGGGCGTGTGGAAAAGCCCTTTCCGCTTTGCCTAGGGAAACTCAGCCTCTCTTTTGAGAGGTAACCCCAATAACCCTTGAAACGGTCTCCAACCCTTTGCTAACTTTTCCTCTTCCCTACCTGTCCCCACTTCATTCCTGAATAATCCTTGAATTCCCTGAACTCCCTGTAATACAGGGCTGATTTTATGCCTCTGGTCACTCCCTCCTTCTGTTAGAATTTATCTTACCGCACCCTGTCCCTTGGAGTAGGGACTCTTTTCTTTTTCATCTTTTCTCCTTTCTTTGCTCCAGAGATTTATGGAAGAGTAAATAAAAGGGAAGAAGGGAGCACCCTTTAGCTGCTAGGTACAAGGAAAGTTAAAGCACAGAGTGTAAGAGTGACCTAACTGAGTGCTTCTGAAGCCCCCGAGTTGTACTTGTAAGAGGGACACTTTAGGTGGTGTAATACGTTTGAAGATGTTTTATGGAAGCTGAAGTAGAGCGGAATAATCCCACAGTGCAGCCCAAGGTAGACGGAGAAAATGGAGCTGAAGCTGCTGAACACATTTCCTTTCATACGTAAGGCGACTTCCGGAGAGAGGCGCTGTGACTGTCTGTCACAGGAGTGAGACTCCTAAAAGCCACTGCGCCCGCCCATCACAGACACCGTGCAGCTGTGTGGCCATCTGTCGCAGTGTGAGAAAGGCCAGACTGAGCCTGCAGTGCTGTGCTGTCTCTCCAGCTGTCCTGCTCACTGGGCTGTGCACTCGACATCCGAGGCCCCGGTGTGAAGACTCCACAGCAGGAGCACTGAGAGCTTCAGGAAGAAAGCGGCCAGCACAGTCCCCTCCTCCAGGAGACAAGGCTCCTAAACCCAGTGCTTCTCATTAAGGAAAAATGTGCCATCACAAGTTGTGCATCGTGCAGCTGCGGTCTAGAAACTGCCTCGTTGCCGTGTTCTCCTTGGGCGCTGAGGCCGTGGCGCTGCAGCACAGAATTCCTCCTCCACGTTCAGTTTGCAGTTTATTTGTCCTGGGTGCCCTGGGTCCCCTGGGCGCGAGCTCACCCCAGTGGCGTTGCTCTCGCTCCCGCTGGTTCTCCTCACCTATCACACCCACTGCAGACATGTTGTTCCGCTGCACACTCACTGGGCCCTGGCTCGTCCTTCCGTGAGGTGATCGAGAAGTTGGTCTCTCTGCTGCTCTGTTTCCTGGAATTGGACCCTGCCCCCAGGGGAGAGCAGAGGGCGGTCTCCCTTCATCTCGTCCTCCTGGTTCCTTCAACTCATCAGCTGGCCAGACCACCATCTGTTTAACTTCAGCATTTGTCTTCTGGTTGTGCAAGCAGTTCAAGTCCTGTGAGCCTAACACACACACACACACACGCACACGCACACACACGCACCCGGCTTCCTTTCTGGTTCTCTGCTCCTCACCTCCCAAAGGACTGGTCTTCAGCAGCGCCAGGAACGTTCTCCGTCTTCATGCGCTTTGCCGTGATCCCACCCCATTGCCCGTGAAACTGTCCCTGCGGAGGACACCACTGACCACAGGTGGCCCAGAACCGGGGTCTGTGAGGAGCACTGACTCTGTGCGGTGGTCTCTCGGCAGTGTCCTCGCTCGGGATTTGGTCACCCAGTCCCCACTGCGGTCTCGGCACTGCTTCCTCTGGTTCTGACTGCAGACCTCACGCCGAATGCCCTGGGCACTCAAGGACCTGTTCCAGACACTCACTGCATGGGACGGAAAATCAGGGAGCAGAATCTCTGTGCCCGCAGCAGGGCTGCCTCACCTTGTGTAGGGGTCTCAGGAGGCCCCCGAGAAGCTGCTGCACGGAGCCCCCCAGGAGAAGTGGTGGGAAGGTGCCCAGGAGGAGGGAACAGCCCGTGCTAGAAGGCAGCATGGCTGGGGAGAGAGCGTGGACCCAGCTTATTTTTCCCCAATACTGAGACTGACCTGAGGGCCTTTGTGCTGAGCCACATCCCAGGATTCTTTTCTCCCCTTTAGTTAGAGAACGAAGGGCCTCACGTAGGGTCTCATAAGCCTTGGAGTTTCCAGGCTGGGCTGGAACTTGTGCTTTTCCTGCCTCAGCCTCCCTGAACGCTGAGGTGGGAGTCGTGCCCCACCATGCCTAGCTCGTTCCCGGGTGGTAGTAGTAACAGCAGCCGCATTTCTTGATGTCTTGGGTGTGCTCAGACCGGCCTGTTCTCCTGGGCTGTTCTGGAGAGCAGGGCGCTCCTTGGGGGTGGAGCTGGGCAGCTGGCAGGTGGTGTGGGCAGTGGTATCCACCATGGCCGTGGGGTTGTCTCATGATGGGATGACCTCACAGATGGTGGCTCTCAGGCCGTCCCGTGGTCCTACCCGGGAGGGTGGGAGGCTGATGTGTTTCAGGGCCAGCCCAGGACCCTGGAGCAGGGCTGCATCTGGGAAAGCTCCGCCCACCACGTCCTTCACCATCCAGGTCCGGACTCGTGTGGCGCCTTCTGAGGGCCGGGTTGTCCGTCCACTGCCTAACAGGAAAAAGGCCTGGGCTGGTGTGGGCCACAGGGTGGGGTGCAGCCTCCCTGCTGGCCCGGGGTCCACAGGATCCGGGGACTCAGCTCTGGGCTTCATGTGCTGGACACAGTGCAGGCCACGGCCAGGTTAGGGCAGAGGACAGAGCAGTAGCCCGAGCACGGGAGGAGAGGACAGGTCACTGCCACGTGTGCCTCTCACAGGCCTCGCTGGGTGACCGTGGCCCTGTCTGTCTTGGCCAGACCCAGGCCTTTGTCTTCGTTCCTGGCCAAGGATTCATCTCTCCTCCTAGGGCCTGGTGGGGGCGACACAGCTGCAGCGCCCCCACCCCACACCCCCGAGACCGGCAGGGCACCCTTGGAGCCAAGCTCAGGGAGGCTCCTTCTCCCTGCCAGCCGGCAGTGCCCTCCACACTGGGGCCCGGGTGGCAGCCCGGATGGTCCACCCCACTGCACTAGGGCCGGGCAGAGGGCCTGTGCATGCGTCCATACATGTCTACCACACGCAGGATGCGCTGTCTTGAACCCCCGGAATCCTCTCCTGCTTTGCTCACACCCGTCCTGTCGCGCTGGCCACTGCCCGCCCACTTCTGGATGGCCTTTCTCCTGAGCATCTTGGCGCGGTGCAATCAGAACTGTGAATGCTGCTGCCCTGTGCTGTGCAGCAGAAAGTGGGCTTGTGAAAACTCGGCGGTGTCCTCATCCTCCTCATCCACCGGGCCTGGCTGTGCCCAGAGTCACCGTGAGCGGGAAAGGCCGAGGCCTTGAATTGAAGCGGCCGGGATGATGGGATGAGCACGTCTGGAGAGGGGAGGACCCTGGGGAGGGGTCCCTGGCAATGTGTCCCTCCCTGTAAGTAAAGTTGAAACATCCGCCGTAGTTTTCGATGGCCCCTCCTGCCCGGCGAGCACAGAGCAGGGGCTGAGTGGAGTTGCCCAGGCCAGTGCCGCCCTGGAGCTGGCCCTGCCCCGCGTCTGCCCCTCGGCCCCCTCGTGTCCTGCACCTTCATGAACATCAGCAACCTTGTGATAAAGGGGTCACATGAGGAGCTGCTTCCCTGAGCTGCCAATGAATGGGCCGAGGCGGGTCTGGGAGCCGGATTTGCCCGCCCCAGACCTGCGTGTGGGGCCGCTGCCCTGGACCCCGCGCACCCCACAGTGCCGCTGCCCAAGAGGGGTGGGAGGACCGCAGCTCTGCCAGGAGCGCCCTGGGCAGAGAGAGGGGAGCGGAGCCGGCTTTTGTCCCGCAGAGTGGAGAGAGTTGCTGTCCTGCTGGGCAAAGGGTCTGGAGACTATAGGGGTAGAGATTCGGTTTACAAACAGAAAAAGCGCAGCTCTGCGCAGCGCACAGGTGAAATGGGAAATCACAGGAAGACTGGCTCGCGGCTTCTCCGCCCGGCCTGGCAGCGCAGCCCTGGACCTTCCTGGCAGCGGCAGGGCCAGGGAGCAGCGGGCAGAGCCCGCCGCCTGCGATGTTTGACAGGGAGCTCGGCCGTGATGCGTGCAGCGGGAGTGTAAAAGAGAGGAGAGGCAGGAGGCCTTCTGTGTCCCCGTGTCCCCGCCTGCAGTGAGGGGGCCTCCCTGGGCCTTGGGGTCCGCGGCACAGCCGCTCTCGGCCGCTAGGGGGCGGAGGAGGCCAGGCCTCCCTGAACTGAACAGGGAGGAGGGGCTTGGGGCGCACAGCCGCCAGGGCCGCTGCCCAGGGTCACTTCCCCGCACGCTTAGTGCCTGGACGCCTCTCTAGACCCCAAGGCAGGGCTCCCTGTGGCAGGGAGACGGAGTGGAATACAGCCGCGCTCCCTTCAGAGAGGAGGAGCCTGGCGTTCGTCCGCGCAGGACCGCCCTTCAGGGAATGAAGGGTTCTTTGGTTCTGCGCTGCTCCTTCTGCGTCTGCGTCTTCATTTCCGCTCTGCAGCCCGCAGTGCGCGCGTGACCCCTTGTGGTGCCCTGTGGGACCGAGGCCTCGGTGGGCTCCGTGTCACCTTCTTACCTCCTCCCGGGACTCCGAGTGCTCGCCACAGCCGGGGGCCACACCCGTCCCTCACGGAGAGAAAACACAACCGTGATGCTGCAGGGCCCGCCGGACATTTTCAGGATCAGCTGAGCTGCTGGCAGGCTCTTCTCCGCGTTCAGCCTGAAATCGGACTCTGTGAAGACCGGAACTCGCCGAACAGGGGCGCGAAAACCAGGAGCCCTGTTGAATTCTCTTAACGTTGGGGCTGTGCTTACATGTCAGCTGGAAACTGTTAGACGGCAACTTTGTCTGATCAGGATGAGGATTGCAGCAGGGTGTGAGGGAGAGCCCTGCTCCCAGAGTGAGGAAGGGTAGTCTGACTCTTCGTTTGCAAAACAGGGACCGCGCCGTGCGTTGTTCGCCAGTCGGGGATGGAAGGGATGGGAAAGCGCTTTGCAAGCTGCAGTAAGATGCATCCGTGTGAGGTCATCGCTGGCTTTGCAGTCGGCTGGCTTGAAAATGCGTCGGCTGGGTTCAAGCACAGCCCTGTTCGATTCCATTTTGCTCCGTGCTTTCCCTTCTTAAGCGGTGGAGACCGAGAGTCAGCCCTGTTCATCTCTCAGGTGCCTGAAAAGCTTGCTAAAGAGTGAAGATGTGATGTTCCTCAAAAGACCAGGGCCCTAAGCTACGGCCAGAGGGAGTCCTGGTTGCACATCCTCAGAAAGCCCTGGGCCCGGGCTGTCACCGGCGGTCCCCGTGGGTGAGACCGCGGGGCTCTGTCTCTGTCACCGCTGTGCACTCAGCGGTGTGGGAAATTGAGCGGTGGCCCCTCCAAAGAGCTGCCTTCCCTTGGGGTGACCGCTCTGTGAGAGCAACTTTTCGTGCCTCAGTTAATTACAGTGGGGTCGGAGAAGGGATTCAGCTCCTCGGGCACCAGCCATGCACCAGGGCTCCATAAGCAGGTGGACCGTGTCCAGCCCTGGTCAACGAGGGCGACAGCGCTTCTGTCTGGTGGCCTCCTACTCTGCAGAAGGAGACCGAGAGCCACGGTGCTCAGAGGCAGCAGCGCTCAGACCGCTGCAGGCCTGGTGCCTCATTTCAGCTTTGCATCCGACTCCCCACCATCCCCTGGCTCCTGTGACTCAGCCCTCGGGTACCGCATGATCTGATGTGTTTAATTGTCCCTTTGCCTCTGTCGGCCCCTAGGTCCTGCGTGACGGACATGTGCGAGTGTCCAGCCCACAGGAACTGTTACTGTGAGTCGCTCCTGGCCTATGCCCGGGCCTGCCAGAGGGAGGGCATCTCGGTGCCCTGGGCGCCCCAGCAGCACTGCGCAGGTAAGAGGCAGGACCTGCCCACTAGGAGTCCCATGCCCATGCGGCCCACTTGGACTGCAGTTGGCAAACACAGGGCTCCCTGCTCGGCGGGGTGGGCGGCGGTGTCCAGAGCAATGCCCTAGAGGAGCGGTCTCAACCTTCTGGGATTTCCTCTGCTGCCAGGTTCTCTGCTCCTCAGCTGCCTGCTGGATGCACCTGGCACCTGGGCCTTGTCCCTCGGGCGTGGGCCCTGTGGAACAAGTTCACACCCTGGGGGGGTCTCCTCCCCAGCCCCCTCTGCTGGTGGTAGGAGCTCTCTGTCCCCAGGCAAGTTAATTAGCTGCATTTTCTGCTGTGGAACAGATGCCTTTGTCTTGGCCCCCAAGTGTCTGAGGATGGGCACTGTGCCGGACACTGGGCAGTGGTGGTGCTGTGTCAGCCTCTGTCCCTGGGGCTCTGGCTGCTGCTGGAAAATCAGGCAAGGAAATGACTGAGCACTGCACACCCGCACTGTGATGAGGAAGGAGAAGGACACAGGGCAGAGCTCTAGCAAACAGAGAGAAGCGTAGCCCTGGAGCTGGGGGGGGAGGGACGTCCTCTGCCCAGGGCCAGGGTGGGGCCCAGCACAGCCGGAAGGACTGCAGTGAGTCAGCAAGCGCCCCATATGGACAAGGTGGGCTGGACAGGCAGGGGACAGAAAACATCTGTGTTTCAAACTGGAAGGGAGCCAGTGCGGCTTGGGCTGGGGGCAGGGGACGGAGGGGCTCAGCAGGAGGTCGGTGGGCAGAAGCCAGCTTCACAGGACTTGCTGAGTCTTGGCTGGCGTCTAGCGCTTATTCCAAGAGAAGCGGGTGTCCCAGTGGGCATCCGGCAGGCCTCTGTGTTTTCCAGAGATGACCTGGCCGCCGTGTAGAGCAGCATGGTCCCCCACCTTTGTGACAGCGGGGCCCAGCTTCATGGGAGACAGTTTTCCATAGGTGGAGTAGTTGGGGTGTGACTGAGGGGCACAGCTCGGACCCCTCGCATGTGCCCTTGGAAATGGGGTTGAGAATCCTGTGCTTCTGCTGCTCAGGTGGTGATGCGCTCCTGGGTTCGGCCCTACACACAGCGGAGCCTCGCCTGCAGCTCCCCTCCCGCCATGCAGCCCAGTTCCCAGCAGGCCGTGCACTTGCACTGGTGCTGGTCCATCGCCCGGTAGTGGGGGCCCTGCTGTGGGGAGACCGCAGGAGGAAAGTCAGAGTCGGTGCCTGGAGGTTGCTGCTGCAGGAGCCCTGATCACAAGCGGGTAGTGGCCGCCCGTGTGGAGAGAAGCAGGGAGAACCCGCGTGTGTCTGGAGTTTCCGTGCTGTCTCCTGTCACAGGGCAGGAGCACCGGTGTCGCGTGCACAGAAGACGCTGTCGGTGGCAGCTGCTGCTGTCATTTAGATGTGAAGAGCAGGGGACCGAATGCTTGGCACCGGTGCGGGGCTCGGCCACCTTGTCTCTGTCTAGAGGAAGAGATGGGTTTGCAGCTTCTACGAAGCCTTGGGGGCGTGGGTGACAGCACGAGGCTGCGGTGGTCCTGAGCGTCCTCAGCTGCCCCAGCTGCATCCCTGGTCCGTGTCCTCCCCTTCCTCTGATCCCTCCTTTCAGTCTTGCTGTCACCTCTGCGGGCCGAGTGCAACCTTCCTGTGGGAATGCACTTTCCACAGGGGAGTCCTCTCGGCGGGCTGCCTGCCTCAGCGGAGCTTGGAAGTGATAACCATGACCCACAGCACAGTGTGGCTGCAGCTGCCAGAGGGGCAGGAAGTGGGGACTCAGTGTGGGTGGAATGTGAAGCTGATGTGTGGAGTCTGGGTCCCCAGCCCTCTGAGTACTCCTCGCTCCCTTGCTCTCTTCTGAGCCCTGCTTCCCTTGAATCTACCAGCAAGCGAGTAGAGTCCAGGCCGCCCCGTCCACTGTGTGTGACGCAGGGCTCACGCTGTCAGCTGTGGGGTGCAGTGGCTGCATCCGGGCCATGGACCTCTCCTCCTGGCCCAGCGCTGTGCTCAGCTCCAGTTCCACGCGCACTGTCCGAGGGCTGCACCTTCCTCGTCAGCATCCTCGTTTGAGGAGCAGAATCCCTGGAGCCTGATCGCTTTCCTCGTGGAAAGGCTCCATTTCCCTCTCAGTGTTAGGGGAGCTGTCCATTGAGGAGTCGCTCTCTCATAGTGCAAGTGGAGAACGGTGCTTTGCACACATGTGTGCACACACGTGCATGCACACCGCAGACAGCCACTGCCTGACGGCTGCAATGTGAAGAACTGAGTTTGCAGAGCTACACAGCGCCTCTCAGTCCTTACTTCAGACCCGTCCGGAAGACTGGCGCTCACAGGAAGACCATTTGTAGCTTGTTGAGCTCCCAGGTGCGCTGGCCCAAAGCAGCACTGAAGATGTACAGCAGAGAATTGAAATGTTTGGAATCCAAAGCCAGTTCGCCGAACGTCTAAGGAGCCCCCAGAAAGTCTGGAGAACGAGAGACGCGTTTGAAGCTGGCCTGGATGTCAGTGAACTCGATGGCACTCTGGACGTGGCAGTGCCTGCTTGTGGTGTCAGGAAAGATGACTGGGCCTGTAACTCAGCCTGGGAATTACCAAATACGGGGTAATTTGCTGAGAGCGCCAGTGAAGGTGTCTAAAGTAACCGTTTCTGTTATTCTGTAAGTGTCTCCTTTCCCACGGACCACAGTAGTGTCCTGTATAACCCTTTATCGTACTTTATGCCCATCTCAACTTTACATCGCCGCATCGTATAGACAGCGACATTGAGGCTTTAGATAGTTAAGGAATTTGCTGAAAGCCAAAGAGCTCCGGAAAGCAAGGAAGCTGAGAATGGAGCCAGGTCAGCCTGCATCCTGGCTTCTGTTTTCAGTCGTTCTGAGGACGCAGAAACGGACCCTCCAGTATTTCTGTATTTCTGTGAGCGCCAGCTGCTGCACCCGGCTGTTTGACATCCGGATCGGTGTTAACCTCGGGTCTGCAGCTCTGCTCGCTTGTTCCTCGTCACCAGCGGGACAGCCTGGGTGCCTTGGGGCTGTCATTCATAATCGCCTCTCCCCTGCGTCTCATCACGATTCTGAGCAGAGTCTCTGCCGCCGCCTCCCCTGCAGTGATGGAAGCTGTGCACCCAGAGCGACTTCTACCAGGGTAGGCCCTGGGGATCGGCCGCGTGCCTTCCTGTGGCACCAGGGATGCCCCCGCCGGGTCCCTGGGCGCCTTTCCCTCTTTGTCAGACTCCGCAGGGCCCCGGTGACTCCGCTCCGTCAGTGTGGCCGCTCTTGCCTCACACCGGGCTTTTCCTTGCTGCCTGCACGGTGCCCCTGACCACAGAGCAGCTCTCGGTCAGGCGTCATTTCACCCAGTCCATTCTTGTCCATATCTTAAATTGGATAAGGTTCTTTTTATATTTCCTGTTATCTTGTAAATCTAATGACAAAGGCCTGCAGGTTTTGGTCGTCCTGTAGGTAAATAATGGGACTGCTGAGGAACTGCAGGAGATGGAGCTCAGTGCTGTGACCAGCAGCACCCAGCAGGGGGCAGAGGAGCCCCACGCATGGAGGAGACGGCAGTACAAGGAGCACGGGGCGTCTCCCTGGGTCTGGGCTCGGGGCGCGGAGTGTCCTGGGTACAGATGCATGCTCACACTACCACTCGGCCACTCTTTATTTTTCCGAGAAGTTACCCGAGTGAATCCTTTTAAAAGACAGGTATGCAAACCCAATCACATTTGTGTTAAAAAACTTAGCGTTTGCGTTTTTCTAAGTTTGGAAGACAGCTCGGATCCACAGAGGATGAGAGGGCCCGGGTCACTGCTAACTGAGCTCATCTCAGAGTTGTGCGGAACGAAAGAGATCTGGCAGTGTCGCTCTGGGCTCAGACTCCTCCCAGCCACTTCTCGGCGCTGGGGTGGCCCGTGGTCTCTGGTGCTGCCTGGGTCTCCGCCTCTGACTCCACCGCTCTCCCCTCTCTGCTGCCCGCCACGCCCAGGACCCGCTCGACTCAGCGGCCACACCCACTGCCCTCCCTCTGCCTGTGTCCGAGGGAGAGTTCCTGCCACTCTCACGGCCTCCGGGTCTGTTCTCTGTCTGTGGAGAGAGTCCTGTCCTCGCTCTTTCCCCGTGTGCTGTCTGTCTTCCTGTGACATACGGTGCGTTTCCTTTGGAAACTGCTGCCACCTCCTCACTCTGGAGGCCGCGGTGGTGCCTGACCGCATCTGACACGGGCTTGCGAGGATGCCCAGCGCAGAGCTATCGCTCAGTGGTTGTTTACCAAGCTTCTCACAGGTGGGCTGTTTTCACTCCCGGGGGAGTTAGCGACTGGGCACAGGAGACCCAAGGACGTGGCGAGGGCCACGCGGGGGAGCGGGGCCCACAGTGGCCTCCACAGCACGGGTGAGGACCAGGTACGGGACTGGCTCTGCTCCTGCCCTCCCGTCCCCTGCTGGAGATCAGGGACCCGGCGAGCCCTGGTGTCACCTGAAGAGGTGCGCGTGGGCCCAGACCACAGCTGGGGTAAGGAGGGCAGGGAGCGGCCCCCCGCGGGACAGACGGCCAGTGTGCAGCCCTGCTCCGCTCGAGGGTCTGCTCCCGGTTCACCCGTTCACTGGCAAGTGTCTCGCTGGCTGTGGTGGCCAGGCCTCTGCATTCGGAGTCGGTGCCACAGGCAGCGAGCTCACATTGTAGCTTCGGAAGACAGCGTGAAGCCCGCCCCACATCAGCTAACAGCTGTGTAAAGGAGAAAGCACGGGAAGGGCAGGGAGTGTGGGAGTGCGGTTTTGGAAGGGAGCCAAAAAGTGCGCCTCCAGAGCCGAGGAAGCGAGCCGGCCCGGGAGTCAGCACGGTTCTGCCCGCAATTTCCGTGTCATTGGCCATGATTCCCGCCAGGCAGAGGGCCGTGCGGTGGGCGGCTGGACAGTGGCTTTGCTCGGAGCAGGTGTTACAGTTAGCAACAGTTCACAATTTAGTTAACGTCTGCGATGGGGATAAGTAAGTCAGTCGGTGTTTCGTATGAATCCATCAGGAAAAATGCAATTATAGTCAAATATTTTAGATCAGTTCCAGTCAAATGTTTCTCAGAACGCTGTTTCGCGGTGCAGTTGTGAGGGGTCATTGAGCTCTCTCTGGGCAGGACGCTCTTTGCCCTTCTGGCTCTGACTGGTGTGATCGGCATTCAAGGACCTGCAGAGGATTTGCTTTACAGTCTTCCTACCTTGCTGCTCGCTGATGATGGTCAAACACCAGCACCGTGCAGCAGCTCTCGACCCAGAACTCGAAGGAGTCGAGGTCGGGCCCGTCTGCTGGGAACCCGCTCCGTCTGTCAGCCTCACCGCCCGAGACTTGGCCGGTGCTCTTCTGGGCGGCGGTGCACAGCAGCAGCGCGTTGCACCGCTGGCCGAGGACCTCCTGCGTTACCGCTGCTGTGTGGGGCAGCGTCCCACGAAGGCGGTGGTTGCTGGCGCTGTGGGAGATGAGAACGAGGGTGGCCCCTCCGATGGTCCCTGGAAGCGGCTGGTGGAAAAGTCCGAGGGTCGTGAGGCCTCCAGGCCGTTCTCATCGCGCCCTGGGAGATTCTCGGCACAGAGCTTCAGGTCTGTGGTCCAGATCAGCTCGGCTCTGTTCACAGCGATACAGATCGGCCCGGCTCGTCCAGGCCTCTGGCATCCTCTCGCGTTCCCTGGCCAGCCCTGGCCTAACTCGCCTCAGATTGATTCACTCAACACTCCATTACTTTTGGCTAAAAAATTTCCAATATCCTTGGCAGGTTTTCCTATGTGTATAATTTCATATATTTTAATATTTATAAAGATGCATGGAATATTTTTATTCACCATAGCTCAACACTATAGCTAGAAGAATTATTTGGGATTAATTTTTCATGCTGTTTGTAATAACTAGATAACCTGTGCATTTCCCTGTAGCCTTATGAATTTAGTTTGCCTGGGAATGAACAGCTTTCCTTTTTATTATATATTATTTTGAAGTTCAGTGATCCAGGAGACAGATCTTAGGATTTAGTTTTATAGATGCAGGTGATTCCCATAGCGTGGGAGGGAGGGTTAGTTGTTGGTTGTTCTCTTGTTAAAATGCACACTTGGGTGCTGTGCACACCTGAGTGCAATGTCCTGGGTGCTGTGTATACCTGAGTGCCCTACACCCCTGGGTGTGGTGGAGACCTGGGTGCCATGCAGACCTGGGTGCCCTGCAGTCCAGAGTGCCATATGGTCTGGGGGTGCCATGCAAACCTAGGTGCAGTGCAGACCTGGGTGCTATGCTCACCTGGTTGCCATACAGTCCTGGGTGCCGTGCTCACCTGGGTACCATACAGTCCTGGGTGCTGTGCTCACCTGGGTACCATACAGTCCTGGGTGCTGTGCTCACCTGGGTGCCATCCAGTCCTGGGTGCTGTGCTCACCTGGGTACCATCCAGTCCTGGGTGCCGTATAGTCCTGGGTGCCGTGCTCAATTGGGTGCCATGCACACCTGGGTACCATACAGTCCTGGGTGCTGTGCTCACCTGGTTGCCATACAGTCCTGGGTGCCGTGGTCACCTGGGTACCATACAGTCCTGGGTGCTGTGCTCACCTAGGTACCATACAGTCCCGGGTGCCATGCTGGCCTGGGTACCATACAGTCCTGGGTGCCGTGCTCGCCTGGGTGCCGTGCTTGCCTGGGTGCCATGCTCAGCTGGGTGCCATGCACACCTGGGTACCACAGTCCTGGGTGCCGTGCTCACCTAGGTACCATACAGTCCTGGGTGCCGTGGTCACCTGGGTACCATACAGTCCTGAGTGCTGTGCTCACTTGGGTGCCATACAGTCCTGGGTGCTGTGCTCACCTAGGTACCATACAGTCCCGGGTGCCATGCTGGCCTGGGTACCGTACAGTCCTGGGTGCCGTGCTCACCTGGGTGCCATGCACACCTGAGTGCCCTGCGCACCTGGGTGTGGGACCGGCCTGCAGTCATGGCCCCAGGCTGAGGCTCAGCTGAGATCCTTTGTCTCCTCCTCTGCAGCCACCCAGTGCAGGCACGGCGCTGTGTATGACACCTGTGGCCCGGGGTGTGTGAAGACCTGCGACACCTGGAATGACATCGGTCCTTGCAACAAGCCATGTGTGGCAGGCTGCCGCTGTCCAGCTGACTTGGTCCTGCACAGGGGACGGTGCATCCCGCCGGTGCTTTGTCCTCAGCGGTGACGTCTGTGCCGGCCATGGAGACTGAAGCCTGGTGTCCCGGACACTGAAGCGGAAGAGGCAGGGAAGAGCACACAGAGCACACGTGTCCCTGTGGAGAGGTACAGATACAGCCTTTCATCGTTTGTGTGGACTCTAGTGCAGTACTAGAGTATTGTGTGGGAGCATTTTCTGCTATAAACAGGTTTTGTTTCTAGGACCCTGATCTGTAAGCCATTGGACTCAGTGTATAAACACAGCAGGGGGGTTTAATTGAGCGGGCAGCGTGCAGACTTCCGGAGTGGTGGGACAGTCACACGTTTCTCCTTCTTGAGGAAGTCTGCTAAGGGCCCCCAGCTGCCTGCCTGCCTTCGTTGTAGCTTGGACTCAGTGTTGGTCACTGAGTAGAAAATGGGTTTTTCTGGAAAAAGGCCTACTTATTTGGGGACATTTCGTATTTCCTAAGAGAGGAACGTGTGCCCGAGTGGGGTGGAAGACCGGGCAGGCCCTGATGCTGCCTGCGAGGCAAGGAAGGAGAGGCTGCCCGGCTCACGGGCGGTGGTCTGACGCCGTTCCCACGACTGGCCGTCACCAGGAAACACGGGCGCCACCGAAGGTGGGGCGGGTTCTTACGGTCTTCGCGGAGCCCTCCAGCCTCCTAGGTTCTCTGCGAGTGCTGGAGGTGGCCACTTGTGCCGTCGCTGAGATGGAGGAGTGTCCAGGAGCCGTGTTTGTTATGAGCATGGGAAGGTGCACAGCGCATGGAGAACACCGTGCTTCTGACTCTCAGAGCTGTCCAGGGAGGGATGGAGGCCTCTGCCTTCTGCGATGTCCCATGCGGAACCGGAAGTCTTCGACTGCTCTGAGGGCTCCCTTCTGGCGCTGTTGGTGGCTGAGAATGTGTCGCAGTCTTAGCTGGGAAAGACTTGCTGGCCAGTTGCTTTAACGTCATTCCAAACAAAGAACGTCCGTCCTGCCTGCTTTCCCAGTTTATTGATGATGTCGCTCCCAGTTGCCCTGTGATTTTCCTGGCTTTCACTTTCTGTTACACAAGTGCAAAAGTCAACCAAAACAAAACCCGCTGATGTCTAAAAATGAAATGTTCTGCACTGTAGTAAATAAATGGATTAAGCTTCAGCCATGGCGTTTCCTCCTGTAAGATGTCCTGTGTTGTGCTTTACGAATGAGCTGTATCAACTTCAGGTTTGTCCGTATTAATAGTTCTCCTTAGGCCTAATTATAAGCCGTCTGTTGCTTTTATTGATAGAGTACTGTTAACGGATAGCAGCAGATGCCTGCATTCTGGCTGTAGGAGTGTCAGCCTTGCTGTCAAAGGCCTGCGTACCCTTTACGCTCCCCATGAGGCACCGCTGCGGGCTCTTTCCGAGCGCCCTGGCAGCCAGCAGGACTGGAGTGAAGTCGCCGTGAGGAGCTCTTCAGCTCCTGACATTGCCCTTCAGGTCTTATCCTCCGTCTCTCCCCACACACGGTTTTCATTCTCCTCTCCCGAGACAGAGTGCGCCCGGGGCTAGGATGGCCCGGAATAGATGCTGTGGTCCACTTACTCCTGTTGTGCAGCCCTCGGAGGGCTGGAAGCAAGTGCTCCCCTTGCTCCTCCTTTAACTCAGTGAGATGAATCAGAAGGCCCTGGTGATGTTATTAATTGCAAAGCTGTGCGCCTCCCTCTCCGGGCCCAGCGAAGCCTCTGGTGCAGGTGATCTGCGACTTCTACCTCCAGGGCCCACACTATCCCCTGCAGTGCTCAGAGCCCTTGGCCCCTTCGCCTTGCTCGAGCAGGCCTCACTAGACTCTGCTCATCCAGCTGCCTGTGAAGTGGGAGGGCCGAGGCCTGTGTTTCAGGTGCTTTACTGGGCTCCAGGGACCCGAAGTCTGTGTCCAGGCCACGTGGACATTGCCTTCCAGCACTTCCCTCTGCAGCATGAGTGGCACCTGTGCACGGGGGTTTTCTCTGCACACCAGAGTGCATGTATTTTTGCAGTGAGCATGGACTTGTGTACAAACCACACTCGCAGGCAGGCTTTCCGAAGACAGCCGCAGTGCTTTGCCCTGTGTGCTCTGCTCCGGTGTGACACGACCAGGCCCCCACCGCTGGAGCCAAGTGTGACTCCCTTGTGGTACTCTGGGCTGCCTTGGTGGCTGCCTCCTCTCCAGTGGCTGTGGGAATCTCCGCCCTGAGTGTGGTTGCAAGTGACAGTCCTAGGTGAGCCCAGCCTTCCACTCTGCCCAGCCATGTCCGGGTAACTCTGGCCCCGGCCACGGGGTGTCCCCACTGAGGCCATTCTCTACGGGTCTCGCCTCTCTGCGTATCTGCCATGCAAATCACCCCTGCCTTTGTCCCAGGTTATCATTCAGAAGATGCTGCCAGAGCGAACAGCCTGCAAGAAAGAGACTGCTCCACCTTCTGAAGCAAAGGGCAAGCTTGTTTTCAGCCTTGGAAAACGGAGACAGTGTCCCCTAATAAAGACACTGCCCTGCTTGGGCTGAGGTGGGTGTGCTTACTCCTTCCCAGGGCTCTGGGTTCCCCTCCGGTGGTGCCATCCACTATGTGCAGGTTTCACCTGGCTCTCTGTGCCTCACCCTGTGCGACTGAGCTCTCACAAATGGACACGAGAAAGTACCGACTCCTGGGCTACTGCCCTTGCGATGCAGACCAAGCCTCTGCCCCAGAGTCTCCTGCTTTCTAACTGCGTCCACACAATGTGGTAGGCTAGCTGCGCAGCTTGCAGGTGAGTGAGAGTCTCCGAGCCTTCACAGTCCCTGGCAGCAGGTGTGCCCAGTCTGAGCCCCTCCCTCAGAGTCCAGGAACACCAGGAAGTAGTTTTTGTTGTGCATTGTAGGCCTGAGGAGCAGCAGTAGACAATCAGAGGCAGATATACAGGACTGGTTCCCTTTCTCCAGCGAGCCTACAGTCTAGGCAAGGGCAAAGGTGTGACCTACACAGAAACAACAGCCAGGGCCAGGTGCCGTGCTACATGTGTGTAACCCGGCGCTCTAGGAGGCTGAGGCAGGAAGTCACACGTTCAACCCCAGCCTAGGCAACTTAGTGAGACTCTGTCTTAAAATGTTGAAAAAGGAGGGGCTGGAGCTGCAGCTCAGTTTGAAGGCCCTGGGTTCGATCCTCAGTGCCACAAAGAAAGAAAATGGAAACAAGGACAAATACCCAAAGGCTCTCTCCATATGCTAAGAATTCTGTCTGTGATCCACCCCATCGGGCATTTGATGGCCTTGGTGTGTCAGACACCCAGATCTCACCACAGATGGGAAAACAGTAAATTCGGGTACTTTAATTTTTATTAACCTGGTTTTAACAGTGCATTGACTAAATACAAATCTGTCATCCTGTTTCTGTTATGTGAACTTACTATTTTTCATTTCTATATTTAGATTTCAAAAATACCAAATACACCTTATTGCATAATTGGAACCTGTTTCAGTAATGTGTAGCTGGAAGCACTGTTTTCTTTGAAATGGAGTTGAATTACGTATTAACGTTGTATGTCTTGCAACTTTTCGCACCCTTTCTTCACACGGTCAACATTCATTGTCCTCCAGCTGCAGGGGCACAATGTGCAGGCGTCCGTCCGTCTTCTCCAAAGACACCACCATTCTCACCAAGTCCTTTCACCAAATGGAGGCTGGCAGGTGACAGTCACTGTGCTCGACACTGAGGCTTAGCAGGACAGACAGCAGGCAGACTGCATCATCTCAGCTGCAGATCTGCACCCTAAGGAGGTAGGAGATGACATAGGACGTGGGCTGTGTCATCCCAGAGACGGGGAGCAGCAGGTGCAGCAGCACAGGCCCGTCGAGGTGCGCAGAATGTCAGAGGCGGCATATGCTGGCACACACTGGGGTCCTTACCCAAGCCAGAGAGGTGAGAGGAAGGTGGCCAAACAGGAAACAGGGTCTACAGGAAGCGGGAGCGGGGCACAGTCTGCATGCCTCTGCTCCAATCTCTTAACTCCCACCATGTCCCCCTTCCGTCTGTAAAGCAACTCTAACTCCTGCCGCCTCGCATAATTATGAGGCTCAAACAAGGTATTACACGTGGTGCACTGTGAAGTATTATCTGTGCAGTCTTCTTAATTCCACCTATGACCTTTGTCAACTTCAGCTTGGATTCAGGTACAAGGAAGTGCTGAGATGTGTCAGTAGTGCAAAAAACCAAACAAAATCATTCATGTATGACTTTGAATCGTGTTAGAAGAGTTTTTGTGGGTATTTCCTTCCCTGTTCCTCCTGCTGAGGTTGAAATCCACTCGTGTCTCTTGCCCACAAATACATGACAGCCTTCGCGTGCACAGTCCACCCACAAGCTCCGTGTCTCACACACAGATGGAGAGGATAATTGGATGAAGCTGGGAGGCACCTTCATGGACTGCTGGGTTGAACCACACCCAAGGCTCTAAGAGTTAACTTCTATTATCTTTATTTTGCTCTTTATTTATATTTTGGGTTTATCACATAAGAGAATCCATTAGATAATTATGGTTGTATGTTTGATTTATTTCACTTAATGTTATGGTGTCAAGGTGCATCTATTTTTCTACAAATGACTCAAGTGTATCCTTTATGGCAGAGTGGTACTCCATTATATAAAAATACCACATTTTTAATAATGCATTCATCTGTTGATGACATGTAGGCTGCTTCCAAGATTTAGCGATTATGCATTGTGCTGCTATTATCATAGATATGCATGTATCTCAGCATATACAGTAATACTTCAGTTGTCAAACTCAGTTTGTTCCAAATTCATGTTCAAACACCAAAAAGTTCTAGAACTGAACATATTTTTCCCATGAGAAATAATGGAAAATAATTGGTTCTGAGGCTAAAAATTACACTTACAAATTCACTTTCCCAGAACTTTAACAAAATTTGCAATGATTTCTTTCTTTAAATTCTGTCATGGTTCTCAGTTTCCTTCGTGACTTTGCTGTTGCTATCATCAACTTTCTTTGGAGCCGTAGTTACAACACTCTGTGCAAATAAAGCACAAAAAAGCACACTGATGAATCTTTGATGCACTGACACAAGCACTGTGTGCTGTCCAGGCAAGAGCACCTTAGATAGAAGTGCTGTCCCTTTGTGTCCATCCATGGTGAGACACTATGCGTGACTCCCTCTCGGCCCACACAGGTTTTTATCAAATCGGATTTTCAGTTCAACTTGAAACAAAGTCATGAACATTGAGAAGATTTTTGAACTTTGCTGTTTGAGTAGTGGAAAAATTGAGCTTGGAGCCATTCAACAACCAAGTACACTGTACTGAACTAAAATCTAAATGAATCAAAGATCTAAATGTTAAAACAGAAACTGCTGGAAGACAAAATAGGTAAAACTCTTGAACACATAGGCACAGGCAAGGATTTTCTGGACAAAATCCAATTAGCACAAGAAATAGTACCAATTATCAACAAATGACATCATGTCAGATTAAAAATCTGCACAGCAAAGGAAACAACTAACAGCCTCAGAATGGGAAAATAACTTTTGCCAGGTATTCCTTAAAGGGTTAAAATCTAGACTGTATTAATTTAAAATGTTAGATGGCCCAGTCACAAAAATGGGCAAGTGAAGTGAATAGACACTTCTCAGAAGTACAAATGGCCAAAGGATATATGAAGAAATGTGCGATACTGCTGACCATTAGAGAGATGCAAATTAAAACAACACTGAGGCTCCATGTTACCCGAGAAAGAGTGGCCATCATCAAGAAATCGAGTAAAAACAAATGCCAGTGAGGCTGTGGGGGAAAGGAAACCCTTCTACATTGTTGGATGGACTGTAAACTAATACGGTCACTGTGGAGATCAGCATGGAGATTCCTCAGAAACCTAAAACCAGAAATTCCATTTGCTCTATTTCCCTTGTCGATATATTCCTAAAAGAGTTAGAGACAGCACAAAAATAGGCTTATGGACTGATGGAATAGAAGAGAGGTTGCAGAAAAAATCCCAAGCATATTCAGCAATTTGATCTTTGACAAAGGGACCAAAAACATACCCTGGAGGAACAACAGCCCCTTTAATAAATGGTGCTGGGAAAACTGGCTATCCACATGCAGAAGACTGAAGGTAGACCCACATAGCTCACTAGACATTAAACTGAAGACAATACAGTACTTTTAAACATTCACCATATACTGTATTTTGCTCACACGGGTACAGTCCTTTTTAAGTGCTCTTAATGCCATCTGCTGGCAGAATTTTTTTTTCTAATGTTTCTGTTCGAGTAGTACAAATTTCCACAATGACACTTTTGTCCTAAAATTTGTCCTAAAAATTACCCACAAAGTCTTACGGTGTTGGTTTGCCTATGTTTTAATTAAAAATAGAAAAAACAAAGGGAACTCCAGAACATGGTGGTACTTTACTGATTTCAGTTGTGATGACCCCAGTGGCTAACACCATTCCTGCCCTCTGCAGTCCTGCCCACCGGTCTCCCTCCTCCAGGCTGTGTCCTGCCTCCTCCCCAGTTTCCTGCTGCCCCTTCTACAGCAGTGAGCAGGTCTCTCTCTCCTCTCAGCCAGCTGAGGTCGTATCTGCTCCTCTCCACCCCGCCTCGCCCTTCTCTCTCTACCCCGCAGCCCGAGAAGGGCTGGGACCCGGCAGACAGCAGGCTGGCTGGGAAGGTGAAGCTCAGCAGGTGAATGCAAGGAGGCTTGGCGTACCTGACAGGGATGAGAGCAGAGGAGCTGGAGGCGAGGGGTCCTGGTCCCCCAGGAAGTAGGACTGTAGCTGTCTGACCCAAGGGGCCTTCCACACGTTAATTCAGAGGGACTTAGCATGGGAGGCTATGGGGAGAGCTCTCAGCTCAAGGAGGGCCAGGGCAGGAGGTGGAGCCAATGGTGCTGTGTTTGGATTGTGAGTTTAGCAAGTGTGCTGTTAATGGCGTGGAGGGGCAAATGAGTGAAATCTTTTTGCTGGTCTTCAGCTGGCAGGGGCATCTGCCTGGTGTGTGGGAGGAGGAGGCATTCTGTTGGTCTGGGGAGAAGTCTGCCTACAGGTGAAGCAATCTCCTGAGAGCTGGTGCAGACTTGCTGTCATCTGCAGGATTCATTGTCTGTGCACCTCTAGGAAAGGGGTAAAGGAAAGAGGCCCTCCATGAAAATGGGCCTGTAGTTCAGCCAGGGGAAGGCGAGAGCAGTCACAAGGACTAGAGTGGGGGACTAGAGTAGGCCCCTCTACTTCTTCCCCATACAGCCTACACAGTGTTGGAGAAAAGGAGGAAAAGCACAGGTACGAGCAAACCCGAGAGGGCCGCCATGGCCCTGGGGCAGACCAGCGACTCTCCTAGCGCTGAGATCCCTCACAGGTCGTGAGCATGATGGTGCTGTGAGGGTGAAGACCCCAGTGCACCGCCCAGCACAAAGGCCAGGGCCAAGGCTTGAGAAAGCACAGGGGTGATGGCTGATGTCAAGAGCAGGGCTGAAGACAGATGGGAGCCATGGGTGTCGCCGTGGTTACTGGTCCCACTAACCCATGATCCTACATCTCCAGCAGGTGTAAAAGTGTAGTGGGACGGAAGAGGCATACAGGGGTCTCTGGTCAGCCTGGGACAGCTGCAGTAGATGCCTTCATCAATAAGGACCATGACAGGGTCTTTGGTTCATTGACTGAAGTAATTTTAATGTTTATAGGCAAATTGCAGTGCCTTGGGGTTTCTCTCAGTAAAGTACAAATAACCATTGCCTCTCTTCCATTAATCAAGGGTCATAGTTCAAATGTGAAGTGTCCCCCAGAAGTCTGAGGGTGGCTCCCCAGGACAGCAGTTCAGAGGAGCAGAGCAGGGAGAACCTGGGTCACCAGGACACTGAGCAGGCTGCCGGGTGGCTGGGAGGGTGTGTCCCACCCTCGACCCTCTGGCTGGTTTCCCTGCTCTCTGCTGCTTGCTGCAGGAAGATGGGCAGCTCTCAGTCACCATGCCATTCCGCCTTGAAGTTTCTGCCCACGCGTCAGAGGGGCAAAAATACACCTTTCCATCTTTGGGTTGGGTATGTCAGGTGTTTTGTTCAAGCGACTTTTGATGGTCAGACACCATGGCCTCCTCCACCCCCGCCGTCAGGCTGCTCGTTGATGCGTCCTGGTGCTTCTAGAACTGGCCTCACCTTCACACTCACATGCACAGCTTCTGGTGACTTCTCACCTGTTGAGACAGTGACTTCTCACTTGGGAGCCCTGTCTCCAGCACTTCTTCTCTTTGCTGCATCCTTCATCCCACCACCAGCTCCTGTCCTCCTCAGAACTCCCAGGCTGCCCACTCTTCCGGGGTGAGCATGGTCGCCAGACGCTGAAGGCCTTTCCGCGCTGTCCTGCTGCACCTTTCTAGTCTCACCCCAACGTGTGGGATCAGATGCCCCTGCGGATCTGTGGCTCACGTGATTCTCTCCCTATTTTCTCAAAACTCACCACATTTCTAAATCCTTCCACCTTTGAAGATCCGACTCAAATCTTCCCACTTTGAAACTTGACTATGAAGCACTGTGGTATTTCTTTTTCCAAATCACAGGAGACTTGTTACTGCCCTACTTTGAGTTAACTTCATATCCATTACCTTATCGTGGGGGACAAAGCCCCAAAGACCCCAGATCACTGTAGGTTGTTGGCATCGACTGCTTTTGCCTGCTGGGACCCCTTCTCAGAGGACAGAAAGATGACGGGCACAACTGAGCAGATGGCAGGGCACGGAGGTGAGACACAGAGCCATCCCGGGGGGCACCCATCCCGTTGGGGTCCCCGGGTGGCGACAGCAAAGTGCCCCAGACCAGCGCCTCTTGGAGGGCAGGGCGTGAATCACGGAGTCACTGGGAGGGCTGGCTCCTCCTGAGGAGTTACCCTGCAGGGGCCAGCTTCTCCCTGGGTCTTCTCAGTCTTTTCTTTGTGCCTGTCGTGTCCAAAGCTGTATTCATACAAGGACGTGAGACCTGCTGGATAAGGACCTGCCCTCATGAGGCCATTAACTTCAGTGACTCCTCGAGAGGCATGTCTGTAAGGACAGTCACATGGGAGTTAGCAAAGGTTAGGGCTTCCGAGTATGAATCTGGGGGAGCAAGATTTAGCCCACATTGCCCATTTATCATGAGGAAAAGGAGGACAAAGCAATTGTCAGTTGCATATGACAGGAGCTCCTTTCTTTAACATTTAGCTTGATCACTTTGCAGTAACTAAAAATGGTCCCAACGTATGAGTGTGTCCAGCCTAGACCTGCATAGGTGGGCAGACGAAGCGCACAGCAGGATGGGTGCCACACCTGTCCTCAAATGGGAGGGGAGTGACAGGGAAATGCCCGGAGTTGGCTGCAGATACTTCTGCTCAAATTAAGACTGTGATGAAGTTTTTACACTCATTTCTCTAAAATTGTGTCCAATATTCTTAACTA